TTAATAACACTAAGAAATATTCTGATTTTTATAAAATAGTAACTATGAAGAAATTTTAAATTCCATTTATACAACCTGGTAGTGCCTTTGTGGACAAACAATATGCCTAGGTTGACATAAACTGTGATTCTGTAGAAGTGGCTCCTGTTACTTCTTAACGCTCATGAGTGTCAGAAATTTAGTAATATTGGCCGGGAGGTTACAGACAGGGTAGAGTCCTCTAGAGTAACAGTACCAGTTAACTATTTTTACCATGCAATATAACTCTCTGCTAAAAGAAACACTCATGAAATTTAAAACTTTATTTTTAAGGTAAATGTCTATAACCTTGCAAAGTGTAATATAGCATGTTATACTTTGTCCTAGAATGGGGAACGTAGTTTCTCAGTGAGAAAGATTTCCCTGGCTAAATCAAGAGGGCTGTATTTATATTCTACAGCTTAGAGTGGAGAGGTAAGATTCTTCAGAGACAGACTAGCAAGAAGCCAGCAGCCTATAGGAAGCTGTCAAACAACTCGTTGGGCACTGGGTTCATATTTAATTCAGTGTATCTCAATGGTCAGTTAGGGAGATCCCAAGCCAAGATTGATTAAAGTATAACTGTTGGGACAACTCATGAAGTGGTGTACAATATTATGAGATAGGGAGAGAGAAGACAAAAAGGAAGATGCCACATTGACTTGAATTGTTAATGTGTATAATATCATTTCACTTAAAGGATTACAGTATCTTTCCAGAACTGAGTGAATTTTATCGTTAGTTAATTAATCAAGCAATCTTTGGAGCATTTATGTAATTATTCTTTTTACTCAAGCAAAACTAAGGTTTCTAGAAATTTATGTGTTCATCTGAGAGATGATCACTGGATATAAATTAATCCACAAAAATTTATCATTTGAGCTGGTAGTTTGTATAACAAGTATCAAACAGAGCATCAGCGTGAGTTTCCCATGTCCTTGCAGACCAGGTATTTGGAAACTGGAGAAAGCTATATGTAGGTCAGAAAAACCTATTTAGTATATTAGAATCACACATGTTCTTACATAATTATGCTACTGTAAATCATCCCATTGCTACACGTTGGGAGAGAAGGAATGGAAAAATGAAAATTTCTATTCTTTGTATGTATATGTTGGTGTTTTAGCTTAAGAAAATGAGGAAAGATAACTGCATTATTTTTAATACAGTTCTCCTCACTGGTAGAACCACGAGGAAAAAATCATATACAAAATTTAGGATAGCAAATTCGTGAAGGAAATAAAACATGATTTTAGGGCACAATATCTCATTGAAAGAAATGATAAACATTGCCTTTAAACATGAGCATCAAGTGAAAATTAAAAAAAAAGTGTTGGTGAGAAAATTGAGGTTTAAATAAGAGTAAGTTTCCAAAGGACAGTAAACATGCTGGATTACATGACCCTACTGTGTGCAACTCAGAACATTCCAGGAGTAAATCACATATATTTGAAGAATTTCTGACTATAGGACCTACTAACCAGAAAATGTTAGGAAAGGAATAGTTTTCCTCCTCTCAGAAATGCCTTTGAGGTAATGAGTGTTGGGATTCCCTTAAAAGATGTAACATCATTCCTTCCATCCCTAGAAATAAGTAAAAATAGTATCCCCTCTCCTCAAATAATTCATCTTCCCAAATCTCTCACCAACTTTCCTACTGGCTTAGAAACCCATCCTGCACAAAGATCCTGTGCTGCAGAAGCAAGCTTCAGAAAAGCTCCATTCAGGAACTTACAGGGGATTAAAGCTGTTCCTCCTCCATGAAAACAATCAGTTTGCGGAGAGGTTAACTTGCCAATGAATGAATCTAAGTCACACTCACCGAGAAGTTATAAATCTTTCTCTAGGAAAAAAAATACCTATCAGCAGCTCATGCCAGCCTAGCTTTTAAGAACATTAAAGCAAATGCACTAGGCCCTAATATATTCACATATAACACATGTGGTGGCCGTTTCACATGCTTCATAACTCAGAGGGCAGCTGCTGCTGTGTGAGAAATGGATACTGTGACAGGTCACCATGATTTATACTGCAGCACTCACAGAGGAGTGGATGGTCTGTCTGCCCAGGTGCTCTCAGGTCCTGCCACATGCTCTGTCCACTCAACAGCAAACCCAGATGGGGGATCTGACCCACTTTGGTAGGGGGGGATGAAAAGAGGTGGTTAGGACAAGCAGCAAGCCTCCATTACCATGGCCAGGCTACATAAACTCTCACTGATACTTTAAAGAGAAGGAAATCAGAGTACATATGAATAATTAATTAATGGTATACTTCCTATTTCACTTATTAACATCTAAAATTCTCATCTCACTGAGAGAATCAGAGATACTGCTTAACATCTCTGCCCATGGCTCATGCCAATTATAGTAGATGGCATATTAGCAGAGCCAGCTAAAGGCCATGGTCCTCCTCCCTCAGCATCAAGTCCTCACCCTATGTAGACAATGACCAGAGGTGTCCTTTGTTGTGTCACAACAAGCTCATATAAATCCACAGCAGCATCACACTATCTAGAAACCAGGAAAGAGCTTAGGGCTATTGTGCTTGCCTCCACAATCCTTTCTTACCAATCAACAAAGTCTTTAAAACCTTCTGTTGAATGGACTTTACTGCCTGTAAACTAGACATTTGGCCTTAGTAAGGGCACCTCCTACTGGTCCTTTCTTAGAGTAAACTACATATTTTCTTTACCAATTCCCTGCCATGTTCCTGAAGAGGAAATTGCTACTAAGATTTTTTAAAATAGAAGGAAAGAAAGAAAGAAGCAATCTGAATTAGCAATATATTAAAAATGCACCACCTACTTTCTTAAGATCCAATGCAAACTGCGTCACAATTTGTTTGGAAATATCAGAAAAGAATTTAGAAGTGCAGAGAAGTTTAATGATAAAGACGCATAAGCCTAGGCAGGAGCATATCACTTGTGTATGTACGCTGGGTCTGCTTTTTCAAGCACAGATTTGTCTATGAACAGCAAAACTTAAGACGAAATTAGAACATAGTATCAATAAGTGGTCTTAACTCTGGACATTTAATTTAGATGCTAAGAAAGTGTATATTAAGTCCGCCTCCATTCATTTGCCCCCAACCTTTGCCAGACAAATGTAATGTGGGAAATATTGGCGTGAGTTGCTATCGTTGTCCTTTCTCCTACATCTTATCTAATGTGATATTTTCACCCAGAGCATTTTGGGTCATTTATCGCTGGGGGTTATGCAGACTTTCTACCCAGCAAAGGACGCCCCTTCTGAACTTTCTATCTCCCTGTCGGTCTCCCAAACTATCAGAATGCGCGCAAGTCAGTCCGTGCCACCGAGGGGGGTCCTGCTAACCACATCGTCTAAGCAGATCTCAAGGAAGAAATTTTTTTTAAAAGCTTCTTACTCCTTATAGATAGGATGGGCCCGGTCCCGCCCACCTTAGCGGCAGTAATTGCCCAGGACAAAGATCTGGGAAAGTAGACCAGGGAGGAGGGAACTGGCGGGGGAGGCAGGGAGACCGCGGGCAGCGGAGCGCGGGATACGGTTCGCGCGCACCACTCGCGTGTGCGCGTGCACAGACAGACGACACACACGCACACACCTCTCACGCTCGCTCTCTGCCCTCCGGAACGCAGATGAGGAGAGGAGTCTGCGTGCACGCGCAACATTCCGGCCCGCCTGGGGCCGTGCCAGACGTTGGGAAGCCTAGGGCAGGCCTGGCGCTTGACTGCCCGAATCCCAGGGGGCCGAGAAGAGGCGCAGAGTGCACGAGTGCGAGCGTCCTCAGCCCTTGGCCTTGTAGCACGCAGCAGGGACGGGAAAGCCCGAGTTTAGGACTCCAAGGAGACAGGAGTTGGCCGCTGCGATTTAATTCTAATCCCTGTTAATTTCCAAGGCACAGGTTGGGGGACTCCAACCCAATGCGTAGTCCCTGTTGGCATGGTCTTTTCTTTTGGATTTGGGAGAAGGTCGTTTAGGAAGGGATCTGACTACTCAGCCCCAGGCTTATCTCTCCTTTCCCACCAGGCCTGTCCCTCTACCCCAGTGCCAGTCCCTCTACTAGCGGCAAAGTCCCGCAAAGCCAGGAAACCTTGCAAGGAGTCACTTGCTCCCTCTTTTCTTTTTCTTTCTTTTGGCCATCAAAGCCTCCAGCTCTGTATCCACAGACTGCAGCACTCTGAGAGCAGCCTTCAGATTCCCCTTTCTCCTCCTTTAGCCCCGTCCAACCCCCAAACAGTTTTGCCATTTTTAATTAGAAACTGTGCTTGCCAAGGGCTAAGACCAGAGGGCCGGTTCCCTGGAATAGAAATCATCTGGAGTTTAGAAGAGTCCTGGAGATATTGGAAGACTTAGCTGGTGAACTGCATGCACCATTAGAAAAAATAAAAATCAACACCGCTTCCTCCTGGTGCCAACTCTGCCCTCCGTTGGGCACCATAATCCCCTTTTAGAAGTACCAAAACCTATCTGCTGGCCCCCATCCATTCCTCCATCCGCAAGTCGAGAAAGCGAACCCCAGCAGGAGCATCATTCACATGCAAAAGATTCAGCTCCCCATCCACTACATCCCGCACAGACTCTTTCTAAACCCCTCAGCGTCTTCCTCCGTTTGTTCCTAATCGCCCCAGTTTGCCTCCCCCTTCACAGGTTTCTCAGGCTTTAAGGATTCCAGCCCAATGGCTTTCAACGACGTCCCAGTCACCTGTCCCAGCCTGCCCGCTTTCCGAACTGAAGCAAGTTATCTGCAAAATCAAAGACTCGAGAAGCAATAGATCTCAAAAGAGCGAGAGGGTGCCCCTCCACCCTGCCACCAGCACCTTCGGCCCCCAGGGTAAAAAAGTCTCCCGTCTTTTATTATTCCCGAGGAAACCAGGGACGGGAGAGCGGCGGAATATCGTATTGCCCTCCACAGAAATTGTACTCTTTCCAAATGCAAAGAGAAGGGGAAAGGGATGATGGGGTCGGGGAGCGACGAGAAGAAAGGAAAGAACCTCTTACCGGAGACTTGAAGACGTGCGCTGAGCAGGGAGGCTCCGAAGAGTACAAAAGCCAGCTTGGGTACCCAAACACATCCAAGACTATTCTCCATATTTCTGCCAACACCTTCGGGGCCGGGGGTCCTGGGCAGCGGCGGCACTCACACACATACACTCACACACGCATGCACACATGCACACACACGCACCAAGCCCCTTCGGCTTCCTCCTCCTCCTCCTCCTCGTCCTCCTCCTCCTCGTCCTCTTCCTCCACCTCTCCTGCGCCTCTTCTGGATACGAAGTCTTTTTCCTTGTCCACCGACAGAATCAGTAGAGAAAAGAGGCAGCAAAAAGTTCCATTTGGTCCAAGAGATCCCAAGCCCCAGTAAAACCTTGGAAAACTAACTCAAGGAAAAGGAGAGAGAGAGAGAGAGAGAACGGAAGGCAGCTCTCCGTGGGGTTTGCCAGTCATCAATAAACAGAATAACCAGGAGGGACCAAGAGGAGACGGGAAGCAATCCACTGTCTGTCTTGTGCATTAAAAGGTTGAGGCTGGCTCCATGTCGTCCAATTGGGAAAGTTGAAGAGGAAAATCCGCGCAAGAGCCGGCGATGCTGTTGGGTTTGCTTCCAAGAGCTAGGGGACCGATGGCGGAGGAGGGGGCGAGGGGTGGAGCGCTCTCACTTGTTACTGGGGTGTCCGCCAGCGGTGTGTGAGCCGGGAGTTGGAACCGTACTATCCATTGATCCGGAGAAGTGGAGGGCTGGAAGGGAAAATGTGGAGAACGGAGGGAGACGAACTGGATCAGGCAAGGATTCCACGCAAAGGGGGGTGGGAGCCGAGAGAACGGCTTAGGAAAAAAAGAGAGAGAGAGAGAGAGAGAGAGAGGGAGGGAGGGAGGGAGAGCGGACAGAGGATGCTTCCAGCAGCTGCTTCGCCAGGTCTGCACATCAATGCACAGGGATGCCCTCTGTGGGCCAGGCGTGGGAAGTCACTTTTGTCAACGGAGCCGGAGAACATCCGGAGCGTCCGGAGGTTTTGCAGCTATCATTTTTGACGCTCAACCCTCAGGAAATTGTTTTTATATGACTGTCAAACCTAGGTGAATGTTTAATTGAGGGCAAGTAGAGGATATTTATTTACTTCCTCACCCTCCACATTATTTAAACAATAATTTTTCATTTGGAGAAAAGAGTCACCTAATCCAACTCTCTTCTAGGACAGGTAGGAAAGTAAGACAGACGCTGAACCACTGCTCCGTGGCATCACAGTTAGCGTCCTCACTCGGTCAGACACCGTATTTCATCTGTTAGCTCTTCTTTAGATGAGATTTCATGCTTTATTCAACATAGTACAGCTTTTACTGTGTTCCTGGCACCCTGATGGCTCCCAGGAATCACAGAAAGAAGATTTAGTAGGACTCAGTCTCTGTCTTCGTGGGAATTTTGATCAGCTGGGAGAGACGCACAAATGGATAATGATGAAATAGCAGCCAAAGTGTGATGGCCCATGTAATGAGGAGGTGTGCAAGGAGACGAAGAAAGCTAGTCCCTAGACATGAACTGGGGCACACTACACAGGTGTGCACGTGGGAAACACACACACACACACACACACACGTGGAACAGGGTGTGAATAGCGTTTTTTTTTTCAGGAAATTGTTTCAAACCGAGATTCTTTGCATAGCTTACATGCACAATGGGACCTCAAGTGCCTTTGAAGAGAGATTGTAAGTTTTCCACCTTTTCTCCCTTCAAAGACGCTAGGATAAGGCTCAGAAAACTGCACAGGCCAGTATGTTTTTGCTAAATAAATGAACTTGCCAACAATGAGTTTGACCAGAAAGAGTGATAAATACAAGAATCACTGTTGTAAAAGGTTTGTCTATTGTATATTTAGCTACAGTTTTCTCTCTTTTCTCACAGTATTATATTGTCCATAGATTTTTCTCCCTCCCTATATTTTCCTCTCATTCCATCAAGTTTGCCAGGTTGTGAGTTGATAAAGTATAAATATATACTCAAAAGGGAAGGGAACATGACAGATACACAATAACATCACTACCAGCAAAACTCCATTTCCACTAGAACTGGACAATAGGGTTTCAGGTCTTTAGGCACAGTTGTCCCTTTATGCAAAAAAAAAAAAAATCTAAGTGGGTACTTGTGAACAATAAATAGAAATCTTCTGACTTAGTTTGATGCTGATATTCTTTAGAATGGGATGAAACTCTGTTGACTTCAAAATTTCTCAGCATATTCAGCCTTTCATTAAATAAGGTTGAGATTTCAGGGCTTTGGTCCAGCACTAAGGCTTTTAACTGAGGTCATACATCTTTGTAGAACATCACAGAAGACAAACTTCAGGAAATCCATGAACATTTCAAATATTTAAGAAAGACTTCCTTCTGGGTGCATGTTCTCTTTCATCCTGGGAGGAATCTTTAGCTTTTAGTAGGTGCATAAAATGAGCTGAAGCTTAGCCACTGATGAAATAGTGTGAAGAACCCCTGCTAAGAAAACAAACATGTTGCAATCTTCCTAGAGGAGGCATAAAATTCTCTGATTCCCACATCAGTGATGTTTCCAGCTGTGGGAAGGCAGGAGAAAAAGTGTTCCATATCTATTGTATAAGTCACTTTGAAGGTACCCTATTCAGTGTCACACAATAAGTCTGGTGATCAATTTTCTTTCATTAGACTCCTTGGGTCCTGCAGTTCAGCCTATCAATCCACTGACCAAAATTGTTCTACTAAGGACCATTGACTTCATTTTCTCAAGTTTTCCTACAGCTGACAGCTTGCCCTCTCTTTCCCAATACTCCCTCCTTCATCTTAGATAACTTCAGCTTTACTTTTGAGTCTGTTCTTGAGAACAGATTTAGTATTCTGATTTAAAGCCTAAGGACTTGCACTGGAAAGACCCAATACTTCCTTATCCCTCCTTGCAAAGGTGTTAGGCACACTCACCACTCATGGATCTCATTAGGTGGAAGGGGAAACCAAGAGGAAAGAAATGACGACCACATGAAACAGTTCATCATAACTCATGCTCTTCACAGTCTTTAAGACATTGGGGTTGAGAACTGACCTTTGATGTTTAATCTAGCAATAGAGCATACATGCTTCAGGCAAATTAATCAATCTATTTATTTCTTAAAACCACTTGTTTCAACTTTGGAAGTCTAGAAACTCAATTAAGTTAACTCAACAGTTCTATTTTCTGAGGTTTAAGGGACTTTTCCTTACTGCCCTAGGACGTTGTTCCTTTGTGTCAATTTGAGAAGTTTAGATATGGGATTCAGCAGAGGAACAGTACAGAGACTGTGAATACTACACTCTCTCTAGGGCAGGGGTAGCCTGCTTGGAATATCAGTGAGGAAAAGAGACTTGCTTTCCCCCTTTTGCTCTTGCTGCTTTTGTTGTCTTTTGCCACCTTGAGCTGTTGCTCCTGTGCCACGTCACCCTGCCTTTAAGCCAGCTGACCATGGCCTGAAACCTGCAAAACCTGTAAGCTAATAAACCTTCCCTTCTTTATCTTTAGGTATCAGGTGTTTTATCTCAGGAATGGGAAGAAAGTAACTAAGACAGAATTTCTCAATCACAGCAGAGAAGGGTGGTTGTTGCTGTGACTATACCTGACCTTGTGGTTTAAGAGCTTCTGGAAATGGCTTGTGAGAAGAGTTTCGAAAGGTTCTGAGATGTAGCTTGAAAGAGTAGAACTGGAGCACCTTGTGCTGTTCTGTATGAGTGTGCTGGTCAGAGCACAGAAGATCAGAAAAGCAGTAAAGACCAGGATCCAGAGCTTGCTGTGGTGGAGGGCTGCATTGGCTATTGGGCTCCAGATGATACATGTTATGGGGCAGAAAGCTTGTATGCATTTGGCTCATGTCCAGAGACTTTGCCTGAGACCAAAATTAGGGGCTGCAGACTAACTAACCTGGCAGAAGAAATGGTGAAGCAGTCTAATGTTGAGACTGGTATGGCTGCTGGTGGGAGCTTTTAGACAGATCTATGTTGATAATCAAGAGCAAAGAAATCAGCAGGATGATTTAAATTGTTGTGATTTTGGGCAGAGAAGAAGTTCTAGTAAAGATGTGGACTGAAAAATAGACTGAGAGGTATTAACTGCTGAGAAGGACAGGAGAATATAAAAGGCTGAAGAATGCTAGGCTGAAGCCAGGAAATGCCAATCAAGGTGAAGGGGAAAACTGGAGTTCCTCTGAAGAACCAGCAATCAGTCCTTTCTTTTTTTTTTCTTTTCAAAGTTTTATTGATAAACATATAGCAATGAGACAGTTTCAAATCAAATCGAAAGTACAGTTTCAACAAATAATACACTG